TAAATTTTTAAATTTTAAATTAAATTTTAATTAAAATGAAACAATATCATTTAAGGTTATGATTCTAATTTTAAAAAAAAGTTGGAATTGGTATACACCTTACCCTTAAAATTAATTTAAAATTAAAATTTTAATAAAGTGTCATGTGAAAGAGCATTATGAAAAACAACTCTAAACAAAATGGTACGTAAGATGTTAGTTACTATCAGCAATTTTCATCTATAATACTAATATTTATATTTTTTTGTATATCAAACAATAGTTACTAGGTATTATAGGAGTTTGAATACCTGAACTTCACTCCAAATTGAGGTTTTAAATGAATGGTTATCAACTTGGTTAAAGTCTTATTAGTATGGAAAATACTTACCCTTCTATTTTATAAATTAAGGCTTTGTAGATTTTAGTTTTAAAAAAATTATAATGGTTTAAAACTAAAACTAAAAATTAAAAATCAATATGGACAATTACAATTATCAATTTTTTTAATAGTATTAAAATAATTTATATTTCTTTAATAATTATAACAATATGTTAAAAATTACATATAAATTAAATAATTTTTATTTAGAGTTATAAAAATTTATAAAAAAATAAAAGTAAAAATAAAAAACAAAACCTTACCAAACAAAATTTAAATTTAAAATATTGTTACCAACTGGCTTGTAATTTAGTACACTTTAGAGCAACTCACCAATAAAAAAATAGTACAAATCACTATCGTTTATCGCGATGAAATTCCACAATCTCACATATTTGTCAAGGCACAAGTTTGTAAAGAAAGCGATCTTTCTCATAAAGGAGTAAACATCAATTGATGTGAAATTGCCTTTTGGAGCTTTGCAATGTGCTCACAAACCAAAAATTTTTAAGGAAAAAAGTGTTGTTACCATAGAAAAAGTGAAAATGCTCCACTTCATCTCATCTATCAAAACTAGCTAGCATGGATATTAAAATTTATGTAAGTTGATATATGATTATAATTCAATCATTTGATTCAATTATATGATAAATCTTTAATTTAGTCCTTAAACTACAAAAATTTTTATTTTGATATTTAAAGTTTTAAAATTTGATTTATTTTTTTTGTCATTTCCTCAAATTTTAATTAACATGAGACTATAGTTAACGTCAAAACCTTTTTTTTAAAAAAAAAATTAATGACATAAAAATTTCATATAACAAAAATGATGGTGTGGATAAAATTTATTATCTATATTCACCTTTAAAATCACAAAAATACCACTTGAAATTAAATCCCAATTTAATTCCTTGAACTTTTTCACATACTCTAATTTTGTCTTTGAACTAAATAAAACCTTTGTTTTGAGACAAAGAAGCTAGAATTTAAAACTATGAGAACTAAAATATAAATCTATTTAGTTTAAGAATCAAACAGAAGGTTCATCACAAAGTTAAAGAACCAAAACAAAGGTTTAACCTAATTTAAAGTCATGCAACATGACCCTTAGAATGGGAAGTATACTTATTGAAAAATAGATTTTTCTTCTGAGTTTCATATTTTTCTGTGCGGTAAAAGTTTAGTTTAATAAAATAAATAGTATTATTGAATTAATATGAAAGAGTTTTATTAAAAATATTTTAATAAACTTATATATCAAACAATATTTATTATGCAACTTAACTTAAAAATATATATATTTTTTTAAAAAATAAAATTTTCAAAGAGTATGTAGTTTTTCAGTCTAGAGAAAAACAAATAAATAATGCTAATTCATATTAAAATTGATAAAAATACTCTTTCATCAGTGCACCAACACTTGTAGTATATTTAGGTTGAAGAAAATAAAAAATTGAAGTAAAAATTTTTTTTCACTAATTAAATTAAAAAATTTTACTTTAATTAATTAGAAAATTTTTTTCTCCTCTCAATTTTATTTCCCTCAATCTAAATATATAATCAAACAAAGGAAAGGAATTTTCTCATTTTCATCCTGCTAAAAAATTTTCAGTTTGTTTGTTTAATGTTTTGAACTAAAAATGTTTTGAACAGTTAAAATACCCAAAAGTCAAAAGGATTGACACATAAAAAAACATCTAATCAAAGTCGATCCGTGACACAATCAATAGAAGATCAAGTCCTATACTTTTCCTTTTGCCCAAGTTAAAAAGATAAGCCCATTGTTTTTTTTTTTTTTTTTGGACATTCAATCAACATCAAAGTCTTCCATCCAAGATCACATATAAGAAAATTCATTTCTCCACTCCATTGTCGTTTGAGCTTTTGACTTCACCGACCCCATCGATCCAACTGCCCAAATTTAAAGAAAATTTTCTATATAATAGGATACAACGATCAGTAATATTTTTGTTCAATAATATTATGATAAATTAGTAGTGTTATTTGCATTTATATCTAAAAAAATTAATTTATTAATTAATTATAAATAGAGACCACATTTACCAATATCTTATGATATTTTTTTATGAAAAATAAAAAAATATATTACATAATAAAAAATTATAATAAAATTTTCATCTTAGGGCACATAATGAAAATTAAAATAATTTAAAAATAAAATTAAAAGTATAACCTGCGACGTTAATAACAAATGTAGTATTCATACCACAAATGTGGAAAAATTTCTCCTGAATTTTCCGTATGACATGCATGTAATTTCATACAAGCCCGACCTTACGCATCAATTTATATTTCCCTATTTCCCTATATCCAGGATTTTTATCGATCGTCTTACGTTTCCCCATCCATTGATTCCACTTTTTAGAAAAAGAAAGCGATGTGTTATAAATTTAAGAGAATAATATTTATTTTTATTTCTTATTACTTAAAATGATGTTATTTTAATAAATATTTAAAAATAAAAAATTATAAATAACCTTTAATTTTTTCTTACGGAGAGAAAATTTTAATCATTTTTTAATAGTGTTAGAATGACATACTTTTGATTTTAAAACTCTTATT